TGTGCTGGAGAAGAGTGCACCAGTGGTTGCTGAGCCCCCAGGAGCTCGGTGGTTCTCTGACGTAGTTGTCTGTAGTTGACGTGAGTAAGGACAAGCTTTGAGAGCAAAAAACTTGCAAGTATGGATCTAGTCTAAGGCATCAGTTTTTGACATTATCAAACATTGATGAGACTAATCAACTGAGGACGAGGTTGAATCATGTCAGGTACAATTATTTAAGAGTGGTTGGACTGGGTCTTTTTTTATTGTAGATGTTGGCAGAGAAAGGCAAGCAGACAATGGTGCAGTTTCCTATAGCTTTTGTTCAGGTGAATATACCCGTATCTAGCCACTAAACCTAGACAACTGTGCTGTAGTATCAAATTATGCAAGATGGAAGTAAATGCAGAGCTTTGCAGAGTGGTGGGTGCAGAGAATTGGGTTGTATGGCTTGCTTGATTTTGGAAACACTTTGTTGACCTGTAAAATCATGTTTCTTCTGTGAAAAATATTGTCAGAACTAAATCATGTCCTGAAGCAATAGAAGATCCCTAAGATAGGAACCTCCCTTTTCCAAGTCAGAAGGAGTTCTGGTGGTTTTGCTTGCTGTTGTAATTTGGCTTCGTGTGTACTTTTATGTGCCAGTTTTGCCTGTCAGCATTTTGTCCAGCCCCTACTGCCTGGAAGCTAATGGGCATGTCTCCGCAGATGAGTGCAAGCAGGCCTCAATTTTTCCATGGGGAAAAGTACTATTTAATAGTACCTTTTAAAATCATGCAATAACTTACACCTGGTTTGATGGAAGAAGAGACAGTACTATCATTATTTAGGACAGAAGCTGCAAATTATCTTTTGATGGACAAGTGCAAAAGAATACCAAAAAAGACTAAAGCTCCTCTGCCAAACTGGAAGCTGACTGGCCAAAGGCCAGCTCTGGTACAAAAGCTGTGTAGCTTCATTAGGGAAGTGTTGCTCCCAAAGGAACAATCCTGCCGATCATCAGGGCAGAGTGCCATACTAGTGTGGCTAAGGAGCTTCCAGGGCAGAGCTGGCTGGTACCCCTTCTGGTCAAATCTGAGTGTGGGTTTTGGTCAGTATGCACCCGTCCGTTAGATGTTTCTACCCCAAACCACCCTGAAATGACTATTTTAACAAAAGCAATAATAACACTTCCCTTTTAAATTCAGGTCTAATTTCTGAGTAATGCTAAAATGAAGGCTGAGAGAAACTAATCCTCTTGTGTATTCTCATTGTGAATTGGGTAGTAATTTGTTGTGATTCCTTTCATAGCAGGTACATAAAAGCAGTTCTGCAGAGCTTGTATGATGTTGATGGCAAATCAAGCCATTCTATTTCTGATGAGATGTATTTTATGTAAGCTTCAAGTAAATCATAATGTTCAAACATCTTAAAACAAACATGATTTGGAAATTTGGAAGAAGAAACTGCTGGTTTTAAGAGCTAGAAGTACCTAGCATTAAATTGAGTCTTGATCTCTTAGAGCTTGTTCTGTAACACATGTAAAAGCTTAGCAAGTTATAAAGCATTTTTTTCCATTATACATATTTTTCTGTAAAGAAAGAAATTCCGCAAAACAGCTGTTATGTATTCACTGTAACCTACATTGCCAGCATTTCTTAATGAATGTCTTTGGTTGAAATGAGAAAGATAACAACTGCTTCTGGAGTAAAGAGCTATGAATCCTCTCCACCAAAAGAAATCACAAAATGATAGAAAGTTGTTCCAGAATTCATCTCAAGTGGTCATTCAATCTGGTTTCTCGCCTCAGAGCATCTAAGATATTTCTGGCGTATGTTTATTTTACCTCTTCTTTACAACTTTCAGTGATGGAGATTCTATCACTGCTCAAATCACTCAAGCTGTCCCTGCCATTAGAAAAAGGTGATAGTTTGAGGTGTGGGGGGGTTGCCATCACCTCCTCTCATACATTCATGTCCAATTTTAATTTTCCCTAGTTCAAAATAAGCCTGCTCTTATCTCATCCACAGCAGTCATGGAGAACAACATTCCCTTCTTTGGAACGCCCTTCAATGTGACTTAAGGCCAATATTGTTTCCAGTTTTTCAGTTTTTCCTTCTAACTCAAGTTTTTCAAACCTGTGATTAATCTTGCTGCTCTCTCCTCTTGACTCTCTGAAATCAGTTCATCTTTCTTGAAATACGGTGGTCAAAACTGGACATTGTATTCCAGCTGAGCAGAGTGGAGGGGTGCTCCATCCTGTTGTATACATGATAATTCTATTGCTAAATCCTGTATGATATTTTCCTTTTTTATAAAAGAGTGAATTTGTTGTCATGTGACCTGTACATTCTTTTGATGACAGCCTTGACAGTTGCTTGCCATCTTATATGGTTCTTCTCGAAGTGTACTGCCTTGTGTCTGTTCTTAATGGATGGCAGGGGTATATTTTTGTGCAGACCGATTCCCAAATTTGTTAAGATTGTTCTGGATTGTAACTTTGTTTTCTAGTAATTTTTTTTAGTCCTCCACAAGTTAATGCCAGCTGCAAATACAGTAAAGAATACCTTGATTCTGTTATAAAAGCCAGGCTAGATATAAAATCGAGGGTGTTTTCCAGTAATTTGGAAAAGGTAGAAAATCTGTTACCTGGCTTACCGTATAGCTGCAGTTGGATGTCAGGGTAGAAGCTGGGAATGTTGATCTACCGATACGTTGGTTATTCACATGGCACAAATGTGTATATATACCCAAGATAGTAGGTTTACACTTGGTACCATTTTTTAGACTGGGAGAGGTACCCCTTCCTGCCAAGTTGTTATGAACAGAAAGTGAGGCATGAGACACCACATACTTGTCTGAAGCGTGAAAAGTTCTAAGCCCAATGAAGTGTGATGTGGGCTGAAAACCGTGAAGAGTTCTGTGATGTGGTAGTTCCAGAACTAAGGTGCATGGCTGTAATCATTGACATGTATCAGATGTTGGAGTGCTGTTTACATAAGAAAATTTAAATCTGATAGTGGTGTTGCTACAGAGTTGTTTTCTGTTTTCACTCATGCTTGCTTTGAACGAATCCAGTCCGTTTACCTTAAATTTTATCTAAAACTTTAAAACATGTTGACACTTAAAATGTAGAATTAAAAATTTCCATGTGCTTTTTTTTTTTAAATGATGTTGAAATATCTGTAACACTCCCTTTTTTTAACCGCTAAACAGTCTCATTTTCAGCTGTTTTTAAGTTGCTTTGCCTTTATCGTGCCTTCAGAAGGTACTCAACAGTGTAATCCAGAAATTTGAACTAAGCTGTGGTAGAATAAAAGCTATAAATCAGCAGTCCCTTAGTCAATCTATACGTATACATCAGTGCTAGTTAATACATTTTATGGCATCAGTGCTTCCAAATTTTCTGTTTGTTGCCTTGCTTAACATATAATAGCTTGGAAGACGAATGGATTGTGAGCTTCCAAAGTATTACAAAGTACCTTTCCAAACTTCTGGAGAGTTTTTGAGAGGGGATAATATTTTTCATTCTTTCAGTAAGCTTTTTAGTTTCCTAAAAAAGCAGTTCAGCCTACAAATTTATTGGTCAAGTGGGGGACCTTGATAGAATTTGTTGGTGAACTTTGAAATCATTTCAACATAATGTTTCTGCAATTGCAACAGCTTCAGAAAATTATTTTCTTCAATTAAGGGAAGACTTCGAATGTTCTTTTGCTCATAGCTGGGAAAAACAGAAAGATGACTCAGATGCATGTAGGTTTTACCAGGACTCTGTTCTGTATCTAATGAATGCTGCTAAGAAGTCTGCTGCCTATGGAAAATGAAATGTTAGTGAGATGATGGATTGCTGGCACTTGAAATAATGTCTGTTTTGGAAATAAGGCAGGGGAAGATGTATTGAGGCAGGAGTCACAGGACTGTAGCCTGGGTACTCAGTTGCTCCGAGCTGCTAAATGTACGTGGATTCCACCGATGGTATTGGCATTGGTCTCTCCACTGAAACGCTGGAAACAACATTCATTGTAAGGCAAATGAAAATTGTCATGTGGATGTGCCAACTGAATTCTAAATCTATTCTGTTGCAACTTAAACATGTGATTTGACTGGTCTTAACTTTCCTGACACAGGTTCTTGGTCAAATTATTAACTCGTGTCGGTAGAATAAGCAAGGATAAAATCAAAGAGCATTAATGACTGTGATAGCTATTAGCTGATATGATGAAACTATTCTCTTTAGACTGGTGGAGTGCTGGCTGCTCTAAACAGCTGGAGGAGAAGCCCTCAATAAAAAATCTTCAGAAATAATTAGTGTGGTCAAATGTCATTTTGTGTCTGAGCTTCCCAATGTTTTCCTACAGTAGTGCAGAAATAGGATTAAAATCTGTTGAAAACTTTTTCTGTTAAGAGATATGGTTTTTTATTTGCATATCCTCTTTCTCCTACATACTTTGATCAGTTTTCTTCCCATCTAATAACAAATGTATTCTTGATGAATTAATTTTTCTGAATTTTCCCTATTAATTTTTAGAGGTTTTAGTAGTTTTACTCTAAAGACCTCTTTCCCCTGTTTCATTCTCTTAGGGTTTGTTTGTTTGTTTGTTTTTTAATTATCTTTTATCCAAGCATGGCTTTATATCTGTTTATAAATCAGTTTTCATTGTTAACATGATTTCTTTTTTACTCCTCCATTTACTCTTTTGGAATGAGGACAGAAACATAGGTCTTGTTCATCTTTGCTTTCCAAATGTATGTATGTATTTGAGTAATTCTGCACAAAATTTTTTGCATGGTTTTGGGGAAGGAGGGATGGAGGGGGAGATTGGGACTTGAAAGCCTTAGTCAAGGCTCAGGCAGGGATTGTTGTGACTTTTGCACTGGTAATTATTTCTGAACTTTCTGAACTGCTTCAAAACATGATCACATTACTGTGTGCGTCATTGTGAGAGACAGAGAAATGTGTTTTTTTCTAAATTCTTACATCTCCTCAGAAAAATGCTTTGGTATTACATAATTGCCATTGTTCTTTTCCCTGTTTTTCATAGCATCCTCCTGGGCAGTTGAGAAGGAAGTACAGTTCCTGCTCCACTATTTTCCTGGATGACAGCACAGTCAGTCAACCAAACCTCAAGTATACCATCAAATGGTGAGGTTTATAATTTTTTTTTTGCCAGAACCTACACGATATTTGTGTATTTATGTCTGAACCATTAGTAAGCAAGCTTCAAAGGTTTTAGTTTTTGAAGTAGTAAATTTATTTAATCCAGTCATGCTCCAGAGGCAGTGAATACGATGAGCAAAGGGTATTACTCTTATTTTAGGTCCGTGCAGAATGAAACTCCCAGTACTGCATATGTCAACAGAAAGCAGCAATTAAGGATCTTAAATTCCAGCAGCTGAAATCCTTGTGTTCGACTGGGTGCTTGTTTTGGATGAGTCCTCAAAACTTACTTGGGTATTTGTTTATTCAGAATTTTGGAATTATCTGAAATTGAAGAGCTCTTTTCAGTTCATGTGAAAATGCTCATTTGCTAAGCTTTCCTTCCAGGTTTCTGTTTGAAATGGAAATTAATTGCCTCCAGATTCATTTCCTCATTGAGTACAAGGCCACAGGCAGTTTATTACACAGCCCTGTATGTGGTGCGCACATGGGCTTACCCTTGGGTGACGCCTCAGATGATCGTTTCAGGTTTCACTGCTGCATTTTTACATTTGGAGAGAAATGAAATTGTTGTTTATAGAGTATTGTTCTTTACAGTTTGTACAGTAAGGGGAAAAATGAGAGAAGAAATGCTCAGGCATTTTATGCTGTTTGATTGTTACGATTGCTGATGCACTCTCTTGAGTTGTTTGTAGGGTGGTTACCTTGGTGTGCTCAAATGCAAAAATTTAAGACAAAACCTGAGCTACAGAGATACGTACGTGAGAGACAAATATATTCAGACTAACACGTCCGAAGGAATTTGTAATGTTGGTTGTCACTAAAGCATGTTCTTAGTTTTAATGTTTAAGCAAAAAAGAGGGGAGTGGAGAAGGGATTTGCAGTCAGACTGACACCTAATTCCTCATCAGCTATTTCTGCTTGAAGTATAGTCTTGCTTTCCCTCAAGTTTCTTTAATTAGTAACTTAAAAATAATTCAGGTGAACACTGGAAAGAGGTTTTTCATTTTTGAGTTGGTTTTTTTTTTTCCTCCTGGAATCTCATACTCTTCTGCTCTAAAAGCCTTTGCATGTAGATTTATGTAATTGCGGCCTTTTGGGTGGGTTTTGGGTCCCTTTTTGCATCGGAACTGAGACTGCTCATGGAAAGAAGAGATGGGTTCAGTTGTCCGCAGCAGCTGAGAAGTGTTTTCAGCAGGCCATGGTGGCCAGCAGCAGCCTTGTGGAAGAGGAGGTAGAAAGACAAGCTGGGGGAGCAAGGTGGTGATATTTGGGAGAGCCCGGGGGTGCAGGGCGGGGGGCAGAGCTGCGGGGAGGAGAGGGCACGTGTCAGGCTGGCCGAGCCGGTGCTGGGTCTGGCTGGGAGGCGTTGGGCAGGGCTGGGGCCAGGCTGCCAGCGTGGGAAGGGTTGGAAGCTGCAAGGGGTCAGAGGGTTTGAAAAAGGGTTATGTGGGGTGAGAAACTGGACTCTGGCACATGAGGCCTCTGGGTGAGGAGTCTTTTCCTCCTCTCCTCTCCTTTCTGGCTGCACATTTAACAGATTTAAGGGTGAGGAGATTGCAGGATTACTGCTTTCATAGTACCGCTTCGTGTCCTGCCCTGATCCTGGCCGTATCTGCAGATAATGACTGTTGCACGTAGGTAAATCTATGAGGGATGTATTTCGCCCAGCTCATTTATTTCTTCTGGTTCATGTTATGCACCGGTGTGTTTAAAATATTAGTGCACCTACTGGAGATCTGCAGCATTGGTGGGGTGGCCGGGGAAGGTGATGGAAAGCTTCATAAGCTCCTGTCCTGCACGCTGAGCGCTAGCTGAACCAGCGTATGAAAAGCAGAATGAAACTTGGATCAGAGTTAATCTGTTACAGACCTTCAGATAAAGACCTTCAGATTCTGATACAGATTTCTAAACAGTAAATATTTTCCTAAACTTAATTTGACATTTTGTTACAAAAGCAACCGTATGGGCACCAAGCAGAGCTCTGCACATAGATTCTGCCATCAGCAGTGAACTGAAGCTGTAAGTGTGTTCTTAGGGGTGTAATTTAAAATTAAGTTTTAGGACTAATTCTTTTTGTCAATAGCTTTCAGTCAAGTTAAATTAATTCATAAATGTGGGGTTTATGTTCAGTGAGGACTGTGTCCTTTAAATGTCCACGGTACACTGTATCTCTTAATTCCTTAACTATGTATCTATAGAAAAAAATCAAATTTGAAAAACACTGATGATGTAAAAATGTTAATGCAGCCAGGTAAAAGCTATAATGCTCATACAAAGCTAGTAATATACATTTACTTACAACTGTTCAAAAAAACCCCAAACCCACATGCAACCAAACCTGAAATAATTTAAAATTCTGCTAACGGGGTAGCTCCAACATACTGTTTACCTAACATGCAGTATGTCAGTTTTCATGTAATAACTCTGGAATAAAATTACAGAGCAACCAACTGACTCTTTAAAAGGCCTTTTATGGAAAAGAAAAGGAGAGGAGTTTTGCGTCAGTATAAGACATAAGCATCTTACCGTGAATCACTGACAAAACAAATCGTCAACAAATAGAACTGGCGAACTCCCTCCTCCCTTCCCCTTCCCCTTTAGCTTTGACTGGGTTTTATGCTGCTGGAAAAAGTAGGGAGGGTGCTGGATTCTGCTTTATCTTTCAATAAAGTTCTATCATTAATAAAGCATGTGTCCTTTGATAAAGCTGGAGTCGTGAGTTGGAAACTGGGGAAGAACCATGAGAAGGCATGTCTTAATTTTCTTCAGTCTCAAATGTAAATGAGATCAGTCACTTGTATACATAATTAAAATCTGAGCTTTCCGTGAATATAAAGGTGCATTTTGTCTTTGCACAGAATATAAACAGAGGTACTTGGGTGTGTGGTTATGAACAGGGGAAATGCATAATGCAGTAAGTTATTCAGGGAGTTGTCTTTCCAGAGTTAAAATAAGGAACTTGATGCCATAAAACTGTAGGAGCCTGGGATATGAATCTGGTTTGTAAGTAACTACATAGAAAGACAGCCAAAAGTTAATGGATTTAAATATAAAATCATAAGCCAAGGGTGATTAGAACGTTTCATGTTAGCCTGGCAGCATGAGCAAACAATTAAAGAGACTGTCCAATGCCTGTGATGCCTTATCTTTGACCTGGGAAGTCAGTGGGAGTTCTAGCATTGACTTAAGCGGAGTAGGGCATTAAATGGAAGGTATGTGCCACTTGGTGTGTGGAATACGAAGATTTTTGTAAGGTACTTTATTACTGGTGAAAAGGAGGCACTCGGAGTGTGCTGAGCAAATACTATAAAATTGTCTGTTTACAGCAGTTTTCCTGGTACCCAACAATGAACAGAAAAAAACAGGCTGCTGAGTATACTTTTTGTCATGCATTGTGCTAGGTTTTCAGTTTGCATGTTAATATGACAAATAATATAATTTGACAGTCCTGAGATATTAACTCTGTATTTTTCTTTACAGTGTAGCTCTTGCAATATATTACCACATCAAAAACAGGTATGTGAATAATGAAATCTTGTACTGAAGATACCTTTAATCAAAACAAATGAACTGCCCAAACCCTAAAAATCTATGCTATGTTTCTTTCAAAATGTTTTTGGGTAGTGGTTTTCTTATTTCCCATGTTAGAAATGAGAAATGTATTCTTTTATAATTTTTATATGTATTATTTTACTTAGAAAAATAAAAATTAGAAGATTATGTACCATAAAAATTTGGAAGTACAGTTCAGCACTGAAAAACTGTGATGATTCAGTGTTTGGTTTTATGTGCACTGGGCACTTCTGCATTGTTGCATATGTTGCAGTTACCTATAGAGAAATCTGAATAATGTCTTTCAGATTTCTTTTTTTAGGCCACACCTTTCTAAAGTTAACTGTGTAAATCAATGATCGGTTAATTGCTTTTGAAATAAAATCCGTGAATTATACAGTAAGAGTGACATTGTGAATAGATTGTAATTCAAGATGCCTCAGAAACAGAGCAGGTCCTGGCTTATCTCTTCTGGTGTAGTATGTTTTAGATCTCTGCTCAGTCAAACTGATTAAAATTGAATAGCAAATAGGTTCTCTAAAAGGTAACTTGGTACGTAAATTAGCTTTCTTCATGCTGAATTGTGCTTTTGTGTCTTAAATTCCCTGTCCTCATGATATGTCACAGTATCATAAAATAGTATTTCCTGACAGAGATCGTATAAATATGTTGAGTGACTTTTGTGTCCATGGCTTTTCAATGTGTCTTTTCAGAGGCTTAGATCTCGATCTAACAAGCCACTTACTTACACATTTTTTTCTTCTGGACTATAAGAGGTCCTACTAGAACAATTTAAAGTTAAGCTGGTACGTCATTCAGGACCATGTTTCAGGTCACTGGAACCCATCACACTTCTTGAAACAAGGCTGACATCTAAAGAGAAACCCTTAGAAGTGCACAAGGGCAGAAAGGCTTAGGACTTGATCCCTGCTGAAAGCTCTTAGAAGACTTTCCAAGACGTCAGTGGGCCTTGGACTGAAACATGGCAATATCTTTAAGCAAAAGTTGGAGTGAAATCTTCTCACAAACTTTTAATCTCATTTCCCAGGAAATGAGGTGTTAGTGATCATGCTTGGATTACTTGTTTATTCATCTGTCACTCCCTTTTTCCCCTTTCCTCCATTGTCCCTGGGTTGGTTTGGCTAACTAGTCAGTTTTTACTACGCTTGACTAAATAATAGAGATCTCAAAGATAATCAGACTCTATAAAGTTTTGTGGAAATAAGTTATTCTGAAGCGCTCTGTTAAGTATCATGCCAGCTAAGTAAAAGGCTTAGGAGAATGGGGCACATTAGGGGCTACAGCGGGTGAGAAACTTCAGTAAGAGCTCACAGTGGAGCAGGTCTGGCTGCAGTAAAATATGCCCATGCATGGTCTCACAGAGCTTGATGTAAATTTGATCTACCACTAGGAAACAGAGAGGCTAACCCGCTATAAAAGAGAGAGTCCCCTGTCAGTGTCTTGAAAACATTCTGAGTGTTACCTTCTTGGGAAACTTGCTATCTGTCCTTTTGCTTTGGGGCTGGAGAGGTGATTTATGCAGGAAGAACTGGCCGCTGCTTCTCCTGAAGGCACCCGGGGTGGGGTACGCGTTCTCCACGCGCCCTCTGCCGCGCTCGGGCCAGGCGGCCTCTCGCGTACGTCAATTAACGGCTGGGAAATGAAGGATGTGAAATGACCCTTCTGTCTTCGGTTGTCTCCGATTCGGGAAAAAAAGCAATAGCAGAACATATGTGCTGTTTCCTGCCACTATAGGCGAAAAGGAAGTTGTTGACGTAATGTGGTAGATTTGGGTTCATTATGGGGGTGGGGAGTAAGAAACCACTGTAACTCTTATGCAGACTCAAGGTTGATTTTGGCAGAAAAGGAGTCAGGCACCTGCTTTGCCAGAGAAGAATTCTTTTCAGACTATTTCTTCCTTTTCTTCTGCTCAGTAGGCTTAAAACTAAATTGCTTTCTAATATTCCAAACTCTCACCAATACCTTTTTTTTTTACAAACTACACGTGAAATAGAGTATTCCTTCATATGTTTCCCACATCTCATTTGATTGTAACGTTGTAGTTCTCATTCCTTCTTTTCCCAGTGTCTCCTACCATTGTTACATGGATTGGCTTTCTGCGGCTTTTGTTGTGCTTAGCTATTCAGCAAGTGGTAGAAGATGACACGTATCTTGTTTTCAGAGGGATGCATAAGTATCGGTGAATTTCCTACATAAGTGAATAAAATAAAATAAACCCCAATAAACAAACCATGAAAAATACTTAGATCCATTAGGAGATGGTTCATTTTTGAAAGATAATAGTGCGAATTTGTTCTAATGAGACAAAAACCTATCAATTCCTTTTTTTTGTGCAATAGATTTTTTTTTTTAGGGCAATGAAATGTACCTTTGTAGCATGCAGCAGATACAGCACGGAGAAATAAAATAGGAAATTATTTCTTTCTCCTCGTTGTGAAAGGCCACAGCTTACTGTAGCACATCAATGATTCCAGTGAGACTACTTCTGCATTAAGATAGTAGCCTTTTTATGTAGAGGTAAAAGAGTCTGGCCTAAAATCCTTGCTGGTTAGGAATTTTCTAGTAATTATCTCAATCTGCTTTTTTGTTTTAATTTAGGTACACCTTTTTTTAATGGTTTTTTTTTCTTAAAAAAGGCGTTTATTTCTAGTGTTAGCAGGCTTTATAGCAGAAAAAATGTCACCTTCAGATGTTGAGGTTTAAATGTTAGCTGCTAATAAGCACATTTTGTAGGCCTGAATTCACTGTAAAACTTGTGTTTGCACATTCTGAGAGACACGTGCTGTTGAGTAAAGATAGATAACATATTCAGTGGTTTTTCTATTAAGAACTCTATGACCCAGGTACCAAGGATGCTATAAATAAAGATGGGGTTGTAATAAGTGAGTGACATGGATGCACCTGTCCAGAAAGCATCCAGTTCTAACTGGTGCTGTTATACCACTTGCTTTTGTGATTGTTCGTGTTCCTGCCAAGATTACACACAGCAAAATCTTAAATTGGGTTCTGGATGTTACACTTGTGAAGTTGTGTCAACTCTCATGCTGATCTGGAGCACCATGGATCTGATTGCAAAACAGTAAATAAAAACAAGGAATGGGAATATTATTTTGTCTGATTTTTTTTTTTAATATACTCCTTTTTGCTTTCAGAAATCATTAGTAGGATAGGGTTTTCCAAAGAAACAAACAGTGAAGTATGTATGTATTAACTAAAGGGTAACTGTAAAAATAGTGCTGCATATTTGTAAATGTTCATGATGTTGACAACAGATGAGGAGGAGGAATTAGTTAAAAGAAGAGATTGCAAGGATCAACAGTTAAGAAAAGCTGAGCTGATTTTATGATCATTTTGTAGTTGTACCTCTTAGGTTGTGAAAAAGCCTCACAGTAGATAGTGCAAAAGCTGTGTGGCTTTGGAAATTGAAAGCTGAAAATTTTAGCATACTTCGTAATATGGATTTCATATTACATGTGAACCTTATGGCAGAATAGGTCCAACTTCTAGTTGCAAATCCCATTTCTGCAGCATTCTAAGCACCCTGCGGCATGAGAAGGATTGGAGTTTTAATGGTACACTTGTGTCTATGAGAGCTGCATGCTGCCATGCCCAGATAATGACGCTACTTTGGTTTTCATACCTTTTAGGGACACAGACGGAAGAATGCTCTTAGATATTTTTGATGAAAACCTTCATCCCCTTTCGGTAAGTTCATCTGCCTCTTCTTCCCTTTCGTGTGAACTGTCTGTCCTTCTGTCTGCTTTGTTTTGTTTCAGTCACCTATTTGGGAGTATTTCTTCCTTAGAAATCCGAAGTGCCACCAGATTATGACAAACATGACCCGGAGCAGAAACAGATTTACCGCTTTGTTCGGACGTTGTTCAGTGCTGCTCAACTGACTGCTGAATGTGCCATTGTCACCCTGGTGAGTGTCCGAGGGATAACGTCAACGGCCTGACAGACCCGGTTTTGTTCCCAAAGCCTGGGTTTCTATGATTTAATAGATCTAGGTGCTGCCAATGTATTTTTTCTCACCCTGGAGACCAAGGGAATTTCTTGACGGGAAGAGATACTACAGTTCATTTTCTTGCAGAGAGTAAGCGATGGAAGAAGAGATTGGGTAACACGGGATACAAAAGCCAGGGTTATGTCTTGCCTTCACCGAGTGATAATGTTACAGGCCACCAAGGTGACTAATAGAAAATGCAGGTGGCATTAGTGGTCTGAACAGGAGGGAATGTCAAAAGCAGAAAGGCTTCCACTTTTGGGGGGTTTGCTGTGTGTCACTGTAGCTCCCAGCAGAGACTCTGGAACAGCTGTAGGTAATTTAATCACACTACTGTGTGGTTTGAATTGATGGGCGTGTGGAGGATTCCGTGACTGATTGGGACATGTTGGTGATGGCTCTTTTTTACTTGCACTGTACTTGTCTTTCAGGACCACATCATAGGATTGAACAATTGTACTCAAGGCTGAAGTTCAGTGGCTTAAAAATAGCACAACACAAAGGAAGGTTCAGATTTTCAGCTGGTGTGGATCAGCATAGCAGTGTGGATTGAAGGAGCTACAGTGTTCTCCACCAGCTGAGAATTTCTTAATTTTACTGAAATTTTTATCCTGACAACACGGGCAAGCCCCTTCAGCTTTCAGGCACAATTTTGGCCATATTCTTAACTCAGACTTAAAAAAAACAAAATGTTTTTTTTTACCACTACAACATGCGTTTTCATAACAGCTTTGTTATGCACTTGAGGTGGAAGAAGGGGAAATTGGAGAAGGTGGGTTTTGAAGCCCAGATCTAGTCATTTCCTCTGTTAATCTCTCTCCCTTGGCTTCTAAGATTAGTTGGCAGGCTTTTCTTCTTCAGACAGTCAGAATGAATTGTACTAGCCAGTACAGAACAGGAATATGAGAGAAATAGGGCAAGAAACACCCTGCAGTGCTCCACCCTTACATTTTGAAGTATTACCCTACCTAGTTACTTGACCCAGCCATTACTTGTTTTCTGAAATGACATTTTGTCTGTCTCTTTTACAAAATTGTGCTAAGTTCTTGTCCTTCTCCCTTTTCTTCCTAAGTGTTTTCTGCTGGAGGCAAGATAATGTTGTGTGAATCAGTATGTTCTTGTGTAACTTAATTAATCTACTGTCAAATACAGTGGAACCTTGTTGTAGTTATCTGTTGTTTGATCTCAGGTTATTCGATCAATGAGGGCACTGTTCAGTAGAAGGGAAGAGGGCTTTTTTTTTTCATAACAGTGTCTTCCTGTTATTGCAATGCATGGGAAGTTCTTCCCCACAAATCTTGTTAACTCGGGCACATATTTCAGTATCTTTCATTTGTAGCTACATCCTTGCCTCTTCTGGTTCTCATGTGGTTTCCCTGCAAGTAACTCTTTTAGTGTGATCTGCAATGAATTATAAATGTTATATTGCAGAGGCAGTTTCTGTAGTTTTTAGTGCTTGAAACCTAAAGTGGCTTGGATTTTTTACCCAATGCATTGATAACAGATAAACTGGTTTGTAGCCTACTTCTCAAAGCAGCCATGCAGATGTTTGCGGATGGGTTTGGTGCAGGTGATCAGCATTACTGTTCTGCTGTTCTTGCCCATGTTTTCAGGAAAATAGCGCCTGCCTGACCCCTCTTTCCAGAAAGCTTCAGAGTATTGGGCTAAATAGTGTTTTACAAGTATGACATTCTGCTGCTGCTGTTCTCAGTTTCCTCTGGACTTCCAGATCCCATTTCTTTATTTGCTGGTGTCAGCAGGAGGGGCCCCAGAGACAGATTGTGTTGTTTCTGAAATGTTCAAATGTGGAAATGGATCTGTTAAAAAGCAATCAACCCTTCCCCTCTCCCCACACTCCTGAAATCTTAGGAGTGTTGATATTGCTATTTATGAACCTCCCAAGTGCTTTCAATTTTGATATCCTGCCTGGAGAAGAAGCGAGCGGCATTCCCTGCTGGAGCTCATGTTTTGCCACAGTCTGGCTGTCCGTCGGAGGGCAATGTGATAGCCCTGCCTGCCACTCGTTCCTCCTGGGAGGCTTGCCAGGAGGCAGGAATAACATCTGTGGAGATCACAATACGTTTTGAACGAGATGCTACAACTATGCTCTTTCTTTCACTCACTCTAATTACTTTTAAACAGTCCTAACCACCCCTTTTTACTGCCCAAATTATTAACATGGTGTAAGGTGTGTAGTTGAATGCACTCGCTGTTTGTCTGTCTACATGCCGCTGGCCAGGTAGCAGCAGCAGTTACAGTTGGTTATACAGCAGCCTGTAGGTTCAGGACAGGAGCAGAGTAAATGTGAAACTCCAGACTGTGAGATAAGCCAGTCCCCAGCAAAAAGCCGGCATTGTGTTGCTTCAAGCACTTAATTAAAATATTTCAATTAAAGCCTCCACTATTACAGCAAAACCAATTTATAATTAAACAAAAAAATTAATTTTCACACAGCCTCCAGAGCTGCCAAGAGATTTCCCATAGTGATAGGTGAAAAATTAAAATCTCAGGTTGAAACAATTAAATACTAATTCACATTATTTATTTATAAAATAATACCATAAGAATAAAATTAGTTTTAAGAATCGTGTTGCTGATTCAAAGTCTTGCAAATAATGTTTTTTGTCCCAGTGAATAGCTGAACTGTACTCTGTGACGTGACTTTGTGAGAAAAATAATGCACATGCGCTTCTCCCTCGACCCAGAGTATTCCCACCCCTGCTGAAACTGAGAAATGCCCGCCTCATGTTCACCGGCTCCGCAAGTGCAGAGGTGGCAGGTTGTCCTTATGTTAATCTACTAATTGGATAGCAAATAAAAACGTGAACAGGAGCGTTATCCATAGTAACAGGAAAACAATACAGTGTTTGCATGTCATGAGAATTAAATATTTATGTTTTGTTCTTTTGTTCCGTAAAACAATCCTATTAACTAGACCTAAAGAGGAGAATGCTCCAAGTTTTCTTCTTTGCCTTGGCATGACTTTCTGAGTTTCTTGCAAATAGGCCAAATCTAAGGCTTCTAATATACTTGTGTCTGCAGTAGTTTCAGAGAGCATACATTTTGCATTTGCAAATGTGCAAATAGGCAAATATGCTAGGTCTATGTGATATGGTGATATGTAAATACATGCAGCATGTGAGCTGATTTATTCCTGTGAAGTTCAGAGGAGTGTGCTTTTGAAATATGTTACAAAGTTAATACTGTGACTGAGAGGATTTGATATTGGGAAATTTGAAATTTGAAGTACCTAAGAATAAATTCTCTTTATGAAAAATAGGGATTTAATTAATCCAGCAAGATGTTCCAGAGGTCTTACTGTACTCTTCAGTCACATTTTCATCAGCTAGGTAGAGAGAGGATATTGTTGAACTGTGTTGTGAAAATTATAGGATTTGAGGAGAATTTTGTTTTCTGTGTTTTTGGAGGAAAGGAAAAAGCTTTTAACTGATTTCCTTTCACTGGGATATTTTTGCTTTTAAATGCTGGTAAAATATCTCCCCCGCCTGTATTTCTACTGAAGTATCAAAACTCTGATACTTGTTTAAAAGAAAACAAAAATACAAAAGAAAATGATCAGAGTCCATAGAGATGCTTGCAGCAGAGGTCCTTTTCAGCTGGCCCACTATAACTACCGATCCTGATGCAGCTAATGGAAGATGCAGGTTCCTCCAAAGACCCCAGAGTACCATGCAAAGAACTGTTGATTGCCTGGTTTGACGCTGTCACTCTCCATCCAGTGACCATAAGGGATTGTGAGTGCAGTTGGCTGAGCAAGGCAAAGCATTGAAGCTGGGCTCCACCTCGTATGAGAAGCCCATGGGAAGAGTTGTGTGTACCCAATATTGTTGGTGTCCACCTTTGTCCTGGGCTTCAAGCATTCCCTGGGAGGTGGCTGAAGCCCACCTCTTTGCCACATCTGAAGATCCTGAGCCCCTTGGCAGCTGGCCACATGTCAAGGTACGCCCCAGAGAAGGGCAAGAGGAACAGGGGCCTTCGTACCTGTGCTCTGGGCAGTGGTGGGAGCAGAAGACTCTGATTCTGGTCCCTGGTTTCAGGGTTATTCTCATCTTTTGACTACAGTCTAACATACAATGCATGAATGATTCAGTTAATACTTCTATGTCTCTTAGTCAAGTCTTGCTTTAGGCCTTCTGGCATATACACTTCATAAAAAGAAAACATTCAAGCTGGGGGGTTGGGAGGGAATTTTTATTAAATCCCCAAGAGAAGAGGACATTCAGTCAAAGAATGGGTTTCTGTTTAATGATGCATCTCTAAGGGCTTCTGTGTGGGCAGGGAATGAATACTGATCCCAGTTTTAGACTGGGAAGTCTATGTTGCCTAATAGTTTCAGTGCATTTTATATGTATTACAGATCTTTGTCTTAAAATGAGTAAATTAGGGGCCAAACCTGTAGATGTATGACTTTCCTCTCAGTTCCGTTAGTGCCTCCTGTAAATACCTACAATGCTACTTTGCAGTTGTTCCCATTTTCAGAGTTTTGTGACTGCATCTGTTATTCTTATCAACATTTGGTCTCAAAAATAAAAATTGGATGAATTTGCAAGGACCATGATGATGTGATGTCCTTTTCCACCAAATGGATGGCACCAGACCTTTGTGGAACATTTTAAATGCCCAGCTGGGCAATTGCAAAGCACAATTATTTCTGGAGAGTCATGGTAGGGAGCTGACTGATTGCTTAGAACAGAGCATATGGCAATTTAGTGATTGGATTAGAGCCGTAATTTGGCTGTATGGGACCCACTACCAATTATAATTTTTTCCATACAAATATCTTTTTAGTTTCAAGGCATTGTGACACACTGAAGTTTTCTCATTAAAGAGGGAGGACTGTGTGTTTCTTCGTGATGTATTGGGATGGAAACTGTTTTTGTTAGCTATTCTGTGCTCCT